CATCAGGTTAAAAATTAAACTGTTAAAAAAATCCGTTTGGAGTAAGGCAGTTCTGCACTAGCTATAATACTATTTACTTGACGGTGGCTTAATGCAAATTCAGCCCTTCTGGTTCTTTAACCACGGTTAATGGCATGCCGTGAATTATAAACTCCATAATGGCTTTTCGTTTAAAATACCCGGCCTAAAACTGAGACAATTTTGTATAAATAAACTGAAAGAAAGCAGAATGTAATGATTTTTAAAAAGCCATTCTGACTTTTGGGAGCCTGTAGCTCCCTCTGGCGTTCTTCTCTTGCAACAGGACTTTTTAAAGTTTATTGAGAAATCTGCAAAATATACACCAGGCAATGTTTTAAAAATCATGCAATGTAGGCTGCAAATTTCCCGGAAATAGAATAGACTTTTCTGATTGGAATTTTATCACTACATCTGTTTTTATTTTCTAAGCTTAAAGGTTGGATTCCTTATTAAAGGGATGGTTTCTCCACTGCCCCTATTGTGCTGAATTCTAGGAACGCAATATCATTAGTTTTCACACTCATCTGTCTAATTTATTTAGATGATCGCTTATCCAGTGTGGCAAGAAAGAAATGGGGCAAAACTGACTTAACCATTGCCTGGCTTTGCAATGGAAACTTTAGCTGAATTGTGGTCGTAATTCGAAGACTTCCTGCGAAAGGAAAGGCACTACACAGTCTGTCGGTCCATCCACTTCCCAACTGCAGCGATTCACTTAGTAAAGGTTCCCCTTGCACACCCGTGCTCATCGTTTCCATCTGTAGGGGGCGCTGCTCATCTCTATTGCAAAGCCACAGAGCCAGCACTGTCTGAAGAAGTCTCCATGGTCATGTGGCCGGCATCACTCAACACCTTCCCACCAAAGGGCTCCCTATTTTTCTACTTGCATTTTTACATGCTTTGGAACTGCTAGGTTGGCAGAAGCTGCTGGAACAAGGAACGGGGAGCTCACTCAGTTACGCAGAGCAAGGGATTTGAACCGCCGAACTGTCGACCTTTCTGAGCGAGAAGCTCAGCACCTTAGCCACTGAGCCACTGCATCCCACAAATGTGTGTGTGCATGTGTGTGTATGTGTGTGTGTATGTTAGGCTGTTGTTGTGAGCTCCGAGTTTGGCAATTTGGTTGTAAACATTTCATCACCATTCGAGGAGACATTGTCAGTGCATTTTGACTTGTGCTCATCTGTCAGAACTCGGGTCTTTAGTTATCTTTTTATGAGACATTCAAACATGTTTCATAATGTATATATAAGTGTATGGGTGTCTATGTGTGTGTATGTGTGTGTATCTTTTGAGAGTGGGCATCAGAATTTCATTTTTTAACCCATGCCAGTGTATTCACAAGAAAAAAAATAAAGGTTACCTTTCCTTAAAAGAGTGTGTGGCCCCACATCAGATAATAAACGCACAAACGGATGTCCCCAGTCCTCATCCTGGATTAATTGGATGGTTGCTTGTTGAAACACAACCACAGCTATAAGGATACGATTAAAGTTGCAGAGGCTGATCTGCGTTGGTAAAAATGATGATAAACGCCTAGGAACATTTTCTCCGCTGGTATTTATTGGTGTGCCAGGAAAAGTGATGCCCGCGTGCCGAGACCTGTTCGAATTTTTTTTTTTTTGAAGTGCTAACATAACCTCTGCAATTCAGCGCAAGTGGTTCAATTTGAAAATGCTGCGAAATGGCTGGCAGAGGCTGGCTGGCAAAGGCATACAGAGAAGCAGTTTGTGTGCACCTGTGTTTAGGGTGGAAGAGCAGAAGGAAAACACCTGGAATCCCACCTGGGGAAATTTAATTCAGGTAATGCATTCCACATCTGGTTGTAAAGAGAACAGATCTTTTATTCCAGGCGTGGAGCATAGCGAGCCAGTGTGGTGCAATGGTTAAGGCAACGGTGAAGCTCTAAGCCGACTTTTAGTCCTTGGGCCAGCCACACCTTCTCAGCTCCGGGGGACAGGGGGGGGGGAGAGAGAGGCAATGGCAAACCGCTTCTTGAAAAATGGTTTCACATTGAAATAACTAAATAATGGAATAGCATAACTTAACATAAATATGTGTATTAATGTTAGAATTACACTAGCCTGATGAATATAACGAATATGACTAATATTTCTATTGTTTTTGTATTAAAATGAAAGTGAAAAAGAATTAAAGCATTAATGTGAATAAGAGATGAGGGGCAAAAAGGAAAATGTTTTTTTAAATATAATGGTGGCATGATTAAAAATCAGAATGGAGATAGAAATAAGAGAGAAGGGGGATTATTAATACACACATTTTCATATAATGAGATAAAAGCAGTAATTAGAGGGAAGATTAGAGATTGAATAATGGAATTATCATGTCTGTTTAAACGATATTGCGACTGGCATTAGAATAATATACTGGAATACTGAACAATTAAATAATGAAAGACTATAATTTAATATAGATAGGTGTGTTAATGTTAGAATTACACACGTTTGATGAATGTAACAGATATGATTGTAACAGATATGATTTATTTTCGGCAAAATGTATGATACTGAGGTGCAACACTGTTCGCACATTGATGTGTATATGTAGAATAAAATAAAAAAAATGAAAAAGAAAAAAGAAATATGGTTTCAAACAGAAAAGTGCAGGGATTTGTCTTCAGGCTGTTGCTGGGAGTCAGCAGGTGCATACGCGCGTCCACAAACACAGATGAAAATGTGCCTTAAGACAGGGGTCTTCAAACTTGGCAGCTTTAAGACATGTCGACTTCAACTCCCAGAATTCTTCCTCCTCCAGTCACGTTAGCTCAGGAATTCTGGGAGTTGAAATCCACAAGTCTTAAACTTGCCAAGGTTGAAGACCCCTGTCTTAAGGTAACATGGGAATATGCTGAAACCCTGCCAGCCATAAGAATCAGTTGCTTTCGTGCTGTGGAGACAACAACTTGGTCCTCAACACCAATAAGACCAAGGAGCTTATAGAAGGAACAGATCAGACATCCAGTCCTTGCTTTAACAATGGAGACCGAGTGGAACAAATGGCCAGTTTTAAGTTTCTGGGTGTTACCCTAAAAGAGGACCTGACCTGGGGTGCCCACAATGGAGCCCTGGTCAAAAGGGCCCAGCAGAGATTATGCTACCTGAGGCTTCTCAGGAAGAAACAACTGAATGGAAAGCTGCTGGTGACCTTCTACCGCTGCATCAGAGAGAGTATCTTAACTTACTACACACCTGTGTAGTGTTTGCCTCTTGCACAGTGGCAGATAGGACAGCACTCCAGAGGGTGAACGTCATTGCCCAGAGGATCATGGATTGCCCTCTCCCCTCTTTGGAAGAGCTTTAGACCTCCCGCTGCCTTAAGGAAGTTCAAAACATTCTCAAAGATCCATCTCATCCTGGGCAGCCTTTTTTTGAACTATTACCACCTGGCAGACGGTACAGGACAATAATAAAAACAAGGACAAACAGGCTGAAAAACAGCTTCTATCCCAGGGCAGGAACCCTATTGAATTCTATTGCAACATTCATGCAATATCAGGGGTTTTCAATTCAATGTGTGCAGTGTGAAGGGTGTGTGTTTGTGTTTATTTTCATGATCATGATGTGCACTGAAGATGGTATTTAATTTCATTTTATGAGATGCAATGACAATAAAGGAAACTAAAACTAAAACCTGGCTGAAAAACCGAGCTATAACAGGATCAACAGCCAGAACTTGGCAACACGATGACCAAAAAATTCATATCGACACTGTAAAGATGGGCGGCTCAAGGTTGACTCAGCTTTCCGTCCTTCCTTCCGAGGTTGTTAAAATGAGGACCCAGATTGTTGGGGGGCAAATAATGCTGACTCTGTAATCCCGCCTAGAGACCCCTGTAGAGCGGTATAAAGCAGGATATAAGTCTAAGTGTTATGGAAAATATGGATCGGAATACAGGTAGCCCTCGACTTACAAGTTTGTTTAGTGACCATTCGAAGTTACAACGCCACTGCAAAAAGTGATTGACGTTTTTCACACTTATGACCTTTGTGGCAAGCCGCATGGTCATGTGATCAAAATTCAGGCGCTGGGCAACTGACTTTTATTTATGACCATGGCCAGGTCTTGGGATCTTATGATCTGCTTTTGTGACGGTCTGACCAGCAAACCCAGATAACAGATTAAACAGCTTAACAGAGTTGCAGGGGACCTTATAGGTCATCTAGTCCAACCCCCCCCACCAAAAGCAGGAGACCCTACACCGCTTCTGACAACTGGCAGTCCAGTCTCTTCTTGAAAGTTTCAAGTCAGTGGGGAAGCTGGATTCACTTAACGACCGGATTACCACTTTAACAACTGCGGCAAGAAAAGTAATAAAAACGGGCAAAAATCTACCTGTCTCACTTAGCAACCTACATGTTGGGCTCAACCTTGGTCGTAAGTCGAGGACTACCTGGCAAGGGGAGTTGTGTGCGAATGCGGGGGCGGGGGGGGCGGGGAAACCCGCAAAGCAGGCTAAGGGAGCCAAGATGCAGAGGTTATGCGTGGGGGAGGAAGCCGGATTTAGGAACAGAAGCGGGATCTCGTTGAATTCCTTTCTTTTCTTTTCTTTTTTTTGCAAAGTCGAAAAAGCCGCCTTTGCCATTTGCTCCTGAGCCACGCCCACTCTTCCCGGGCTCCGCCTTGGATTGGCCGAGAGATGAAGATTCTCCCCCCCTCCTCCTCCTCTTCGTGCAATGGTTCGGTCCGAGCCAGAGCCACTCCCCTCCTTCGCCCCTCGCAGGGGCTTTCAAAACCCCGCCTTTCCCTCTTTTTCCTCTTTCCAATCAACGCAACGCTTTCACGGTCTCCTCCTCCAAGGAGCCCTCCCATTGGTTCACCGCCCCCCCCCAAAAGGAGGAGAAAGGAGAGTATGCGCAGGCGCAGAGGCGCGGCGGGGGGAGGGGCGTAAGGGAGGAAGAGCGGGGCAGCGGCGCGCGCGCGCGCTCGGAGAGGAGAGGCGGAAGCGTCTCGCGACGGCCGCGGGGGCTGCTGGGAGAGGCCGGAAGCGGCGCTGTTGCCGCGGCGGCGGCGGCGGCGGCGGCGGTTCCAAGATGGCGGTGCAGGAGTCGGCGGCGCAGCTCTCCATGACGCTGAAGGTGCAGGAGTACCCCACGCTCAAGGTGGGCTGCCTCGCCTCCCCCCGGGAGCTCCCCCCCGCCCCACGTACCTCCCTGCGGTGGGGGAAACCCTTACCCTCCTCGGGGTCTCCGCCCCCCCTCCGCCCCCCCCTCCCCGCCATGGAGGATATAGGCCGGCCTTTGTGGGGGAAGGGGAGGGCGAGGCTGCTTCCTCCAGGGCGGATCCCGAAAAAAGGAGGGGGTGTCTCCCCGCCCAAGACAAAAAAGTGGGGGGGGAGGTCCCGGGGGGGGGAGGAGGAGGGGGGGGTCGCCGCCCTGGAGGGTCTCTTGAAGGGGGTTCCGGCTTCTTTCTGCGGCGGATCTTCACTCCTCCCCCCCCCCTCCCCGACTTCGTTTTTCTAAATAGAGGCTTATCATAGAATAACAAGAGCTGGAAGGGGCCTTGGAGGTCATCTAGTCCCACCCCCTGCCCGAGCAGGAGAGTCTATTCCAGATATTCGCCTCTTCACACGGGACGGGCCTCCTAATGCTCCGCCCTCCCCCACAAGAAGAAGAACAAGAGCCCTGTGAGGTGAGCTGAGAGGAGAGGAGGGGGGGGGCTGGCCCAAAGACCCCCCCTCCCACTTAAGGAGATCGCCCTGACACACACACACACACACACACACACAGCGCCAAAGGAGTGAGTCCTCGACCTACGACCACCAGGGACCCCCACCCCCCCAAATCTCTGTGGCTAAGCGATGCATCGGTTCAGTGGGTTTCTCTCTCTCTCACACACACCCCTTTTCACAATCCTTTTAAAGCCCCCTGGCTGCTAAGCGAGTTGCTGCAGTCATTGAGTTGGGGTCACAGTTGCTGAGCGAATCCGGCTGCCCCCCACTTGGCTTTGCTCTGACGGTGGCGACCGTTGCAAATACGAGTCGATGGTGGCCAGTGGGATTGCCAAAGTAGTTAAGTTGGTGACATGGTCGTTAAGCGAATCCTGCTGTTCCCCCACATCGAGTTTGGTGATCAGAAGGTCGCCGAAGGGGATCGCATTACCGTCGTAAGTCCAAGCCGGTTGCTAAGCCTCTGAATTCAGACCATGTGACCACGGAGGATACCGCCAGGGTCATTAAGTGTGAAAAAACGGCCACAAGTCCCCTTTTTGCAACAACGTTGCAACTTTGAACAGTCACTCAACAAGCTGTCCTAAGTTGAGGATCCCCTGTAAGTCCTTTCATTTGCTGTATTTAGTCAGTTATTACAATTACTGGCTGCCCATCTTACTGTAGCGGGATAAATCTGGGCGGGTGGCACTTAACATCTAAGCCAAGAAGGGGGAGGGAAAAGGTTAAAAATAAACATTAAAACTACATATAATTATGAAATAATGAATCACAACTGGTCCTCCACTCACAGCAGTTCGTTTAGTGGCTATTCAAAGGTATGGCAGCATTTAAAAAAAAAAGTGACTCAAGGCCATTTTCTTCACACCACCGTGGCAGCCTCCCCCCACGGTCAAAATTCAGACCCACCTGACTCACATAACAGTGGCAGTGAGGGGGAGGTCAGGTGATTTTGCGACCTCCTGACAAGCAAAATTAAGGTGGGGGAAGTGAGATACCAACAGCCGTGGTGATTCACTTAACAAGCGTGGCACGAAAAGTCATACAAGGGGACAAAAATCACAGATGTCTCACTTAACAGTAAGAATTTGGGGCTGCGGTAAGCGGAAGACTGCCTGCAGGTGAGTTTGTCACAGTGCTCTTAGACTTGGCTGTGTGATGCTTTGGGGGGGGGGCTTTGAGTCCCTGATGCCCCCCCAGGTTGCTTTCCGCACTTTTCATGGCAGGTAGCTTGCCATTGCCTCTTCCCAGGGCTGAGAGAGAGTGACTGGCCCAAGGTCACCTACCTACCTGGCTGGAGGCGGGACTACAGCTCTCGGTCTGCTGGCCTCTAGCTTGGTGCCTTAACCCCTCCCCCAGAGATTATACAGTCATAAGGTTGGAAGGGGCTTCAGAGGTCTTCTAGTCCAACCCACTGCTCAAGCAGGAGAACCTGTAACCATTTCAGACCAAGGGCTGCCCAGTCTCTTCTTCAAAGCCTCCAGTGTTGGAGCGCCCACAGTGTCTGGAGGCCAGCTGTTCCGCTGTCTTCACAGTGGAACCGTCACGGAATAATATTAGAAAAGGGCCTCGGAGGTCTTCTAGTCCAACCCCCTGCTCAAGCAGGAATCCTTATAACAGAGGACTTCAAACGTGGCAGCTTGAAGACTTGTGGACTTCCAGAATTCTTCCTTCTCCAGTCATGTTAGCTCAGGAATTCTGGGAGTTGAAGTCCTCAAGTCTTAAACTTGCCAAGTTTGGAGACCTTTGTTTTTGACCCTAATGGCTGCCCAGTCTCTTCTTACAAGCCTCCAGTGATGGACCATCCACAGCTCTTTCATTGATTAATTGTTCTGTCAGAAAAATCCCCTTCTAGGTTAGATCTCCTCTTAACGAGCTTCCACCCACTGCTCCTTCCCCTGCTCTCTGGGGCTCTGCAGAGTAAGCCCACCCCCCCTTCTCTGGGACAGCCCCTCAAGAACTAGAAGGCTGCGGTTCTGTCACCTCCAGCCTTTCTTCCCTTCAACAGGCCAGGCAAGCTCAGTCCATTCAGCCATTAACCCCTCCAGGCCTCTGTTGCTCTTCTCTGCACGCTTTCCAGGCTCTCGACAGCCTTTTTGTATCATGGTGGCCAAAACTGGGCCCAGTGTTTTAAGTGGCACTGTAAGAACCGCCAGCCTGGCTCTCTGTGTAACCCTGCCATATTTTAAGATCCTAGTGAGGTAGGTGCTCTTAGACTTTGCATCTCTTGAGTGAAGGGCTGGCATTTTCTTGGGTGGGGTAGGGGTGGTTCTGGCCCCCACCTGTCCTTTTTCAGATCAGATGAAATTATAGACCAAGATTGATAGGGTGATGCCTGGTCCTGAAGAGCTCTTTGGGGCATTTTTATGGAAAGGAAACCTGCGATCAGCACATCTGCCCTCTAAATCCCAGATGCCCCAATTCACCTGGGAACCCCTCACTGGAGGCTCCGAAATTATTGCTCCGGGAACCATTAGTGCCCCTGCTGAGGGTCAGAGCGGCAGTTCCCCGGAAGCCTATAATTAAAATGATAATGATGGAATTTCTGCAGTCCAATAACCTTCACCTTCCAAGGCTGATTTTAATAAGTATGTTCAGTGGCTTCAGGATCCCCCAAACGGCCTTCAGAATTAACAGGTCGCGATGGTCCCTCTTTTTCAAGGGACATTTTACGGTTGGAGGCCCTACCCAAAAGCCACGCGTAAGATTTAAATGTCTTTAGAAGCCTTCTAAAACCGTTGGAATTGCACGGCCGTCACTGGCAGTACTGATGTTCAAGATGTATAAATCTAAATCATTTTTTTCTCCCTTGCTCTTTAGCCAGAATGGTATACTGGCTACCAACCAACCATAGATGCAAACTTTAGGGTTCCAAGGAGTCGAGCTTCGGTTGATTAAAAAAATGGAATTGTTAGGAATAAAAAGGCCCCAAAGCAGGGAGACGAGAAAGGAATGAATGATATTTTTTTTAAAAAAACCCATCAACATATTATTATTCTAAATCATGTTTTATGGGGGCTCCTTTTTTGAGCATAGGGCCATTCGGGTCGATCTAAACTACCCGCCTTCCGAGTGAGTAAAACGCCCACCCTTCGAAGGGGCTGGGATAGGGAAGGAAGTGGAGCTTGGGCAGCAACAGTGTTTGATGGGTGGGTGGGGGGGAGAAGGAGAGATGACTATCTCCATTTCTGCTGAGTTGCCTCTTGAAATAACATGAACCACATTGAACTAATCAAATTCCGCAGAGGCAGGTCTGGTTTCTGCCTCCCCAAGCAAAGACGGCTCAGAACAACCACACAAATTCATAATTCAGCTGGGAAGGATTAATGCTATCAAGTAAAATATGCCAAAGAAATTGCAATATTTTTTTTTTGTTATTCATATAAACAAGCAATTGAAAAAAGCTGATTCCCCCCCACCTACTTAAACCTATGCTTCCCCCTTCATCTTCCACAATCCTGCATAGCCTATTTAGTCCACACAGTAGGAAGAGAAATGTTAAGTAGATTTTTAAAGATCTTCATCATTATTCATAACTCCAGCAGCGACTGATTTTCAGAATATTGAATGCAGATAACAAGCGCCTTTAATATTTTTATCAAAATGATTTGTGGGTGTGAATAATATTTACAATCAGAAATTACCTGATTTCTAATTGTTGTGGTCTTTGGGATGAGATTATGAGGTTAAGGAAATAACAAACTACTGAACCCTCTTTGTTTTTTTTTTCTTAATTATAATAGTAACATTTCTGTTTATACAAAATTAATTTTATTTAGGCTACCTTTATTTAGGCATGCAATCAGCCAGACTGTAAACATTTCACTCTACTCAGAAACCCAGGAATACATAAATGTGGATCTTGTGCATTTTGCTGGCTTTCTAGTGACTATATTTACCTTTTAATTTTGATTTTGTGATATGTTACTCTAGGGATTCCACATATAAGAGCTGTCCAGAAATTGGACAATATAAAAAAAGAAAACATGGGACTTATTTCTGAATTACTGTTTGTAGTTGTTATATTTGGAGTCTTCATTTCTAAAAGAAACAAAGCGCCCAAAATGGCTCCCAGCATTAATATATTACAGTAAACAAAATTCAAGCTATCAGTAGAAAATAAGCAGGTTAAAATAGATTTGCTTTTTAAAAAAAAAAAAAAAACCACACAAGTTACATAAGAGTTTTATCCCTATTTTAGTTTTAATGCAGCTGACGGTGAAATGCAATTCTTGTGATTTGTGCGATGGAATCCCAACTATTTGAAACATCTCTAAATACTGAATGGTTTCTCTGAAGTGCATAGAAAAGGACACGGATTAAAGTTCCTTCGGTTCCTTCAGCGTGTGGTCTCTGGATGACATCTATTCTAGGGCACTCTGAAGGGATAATACAAAGTGTGTTAAAATAATCAAATGTTATGCTGTGTTATGCCATTATAAAGCAGGATAATGGAAAGCTATCAGTATCTCTGGAAACATTGTCAATTTATATTTAGTGTGTGTGTGTAGTATATATATAATTACACGTACACACACAAAAACATATAGAGAGACAGACAGACATATGCCTACATACACCAGGAGCAAGATTCTTACTTTGACCTCAAGAGTTAATCTGGCTATAAGCAAGCTTATGGATACCATGGGGCTTTTTCATACATACATACATATGTACATAGATGGGTTAGGTTTTTAAATAGTTGCCTTTATTCACTTCCAGTAAGTAAGATCATATCTGTGATTTTAGGTAGGTAAGCGTATGTGTAAGCAAACTGGTTAACAATAATATCTGGATCATATGCCCAATGGACAAACATTTTGCAGGAGAGGTTCTGCAGTTCTCTTTGTGTCTTCTGATCTAACCGGATCTTTAATCAAGCTTCATATAAAATAATGGCATACAATTCAGTGCAATTGTGCTTCCCTTCCATCAAACATTCAAGAATGTGTCTGAGCCCTGCCTCTCTGCCTTGATGTAATGCTACCCCATTGTGATGCCAAGGCAGGCCAAGTTAGATAAACTTCAAAATTCTGATGCATGATGATTTATTATTTTTTTTATCCTGGGAGAAAAGATTCTGGCAGCAGGTGTTGCCAGTTGGTTGTATTTTGGTATGTGAAGGAAGGGGTTTTTTTAAAAAAAAAAAATATTTATTTACCCAGGGCATTCATTAAACGGATAGTAAGAGTATTCCGTTTCAGTTCACAGGCTTATGGGAAAACATGACTCGCCTTTTTCCTTCTATCTTCAAAAGTACTGTTTATATAAAAACATACATTCATTGAGTACGGGGGGGAGGGCTGTTGCTACTTATTCCCCCACCTTCCCAGTGACATAAACCTGGATTGCTATATTGATAAGCTTTTTAAGCCAGTGGGGCTATAGATAAGCAGTTTGGTTAGTTTTCTCGTTTTCTATTATCTGCCAATTTCAGATAATAACTGGAATAACTAGAACACAGGTGCCAGTGCCAAGTCTCTCTCTCTCTCTAATCCTTGCTCTTTCCAACATAAACATATCTGGGTGAGCACGAACATAATTACAAGTAACGTGATAACTCTTAAGCTGTTTCTGCTGGAAAGGGGTATATGTCAATAAATAAGTCCGTGGCATCTCAATTGTCCCGTGAAGATAACAAACCAGGCTCAAGAGGAGTGTTCTCTCTAGACAACAAAAGGTGGGTTTGTTTTTGAAGGTACCTTACGAAACGTTGAACAAACGGTTCCGGGCTGCTCAGAAGAACATCGATCGGGAAACCAGCCACGTGACCATGGTGGTGGCCGAGCTGGAGAAGACCCTGAGCAGCTGCCCAGCTGTGGATTCGGTGGTCAGTCTCCTGGACGGAGTGGTGGAAAAACTCAGCGTCCTGAAACGGAAGGTAACCTCCTCTCCTCCCTCCCCCGGGTCGTTGTTTGAGCTCTTGGATTTTTTTTTTCCGGTTCTATTTTCTTCTGAGAGTTTATGATGTTTTCACTTTCCAAGATGAGAAGGATCATAGTTTTGGAGGCAATTGCACATCATCTTGGGGGCTGCTCAAAGTGAAGGAATTGAGCCCTTTAACACCTTTTAGAAATAAGAAGCAAGCGATTTGCAAAGTGCTTTTATTACTATCCTCCTTCACGTCCTTCCTATTACCTGTCTCCTCCCATTTATGATTATAACCTTGTTTCTTGTATCTTTATGATTTATATGATTTTATTTAGTTTTCTAGTATGACTTGATCGCTTATTTGGTATATCCTATTACTATCGCTATGTGTTGTATCTTATGATTCTGGATGAATGTATTTTATTTTTTCTTTTACGTACACTGAGAGCATATGCACCAAAGACAAATTCCTTGTATGTCCAATCTATTCTATTCTATCAGAGGTTTCATGTCTGCGAAGGTGCCTGAGTTTACAGGTGTGTTTTTTTAAAAAAAAACTTCAAAAACATTTTAAGAATAAGCAAAATCTTGCAAGATCTGCAGTGACACTCTTTGCAATTCAGGGTGTTTATAGAACTTCAACCTTGTTTTATTTTTTTAACAAATCCCTGTTTATTGGCACTGCCTCTATGCCTCTACTAGCAAAAGAATTCCTGCTGGTGGGATCTTCCGTGCTAGGGGAACGCTTGGACATTCCTCTGGGATTACTCTTGACGGGCATTCTTCATGCACCTTGAGTCTGAAAAACAGACTCAGAGCCTCTTGGCTGCTTTAAGGAAGTGTGATGTTTGCTCGCCTCCCTTCTACTCAACGATGTGTTTTCCTGGGATTGTGTAGTTACCGTGTGATCCTAGGGAAAGCTGCAGCTACCTTAAGGTTTTACCTGAGTCCCTTTTTTCTTTGGACCTGAAGCCCTAGGAAAGGCCATGCAGAATAAGAATGAAAATTAAACCATTTTGGGTTTCCTAGAGAAATCGCAGCATCCTGGGGCAGGAAGGGACCTTGGAGGTCTTCTAGTCCAACCCCCTGCCCAAAGCAGGAGACCTTCTTCCATCCCAAGCAAATGGCGGTCCAATCTTTTGAAAACTTTCCGTGATAGAAGCGAGGGGTCGTAGGTGCTCTCTGGGCTTCCTTGTTTTCTTGCAGGCATTTCATGACCCTAGCTAAGTAACATCATCGGTTTTAGTAAAGAGTGGTGTTTGTTGTCAATTTATAAAGTGTCAGCAAATTGCACTCCTTAACAACACTGATGATGTTACCTAGTTGGGTCATGAAACGTCTGCAAGAAAACAAGCCAGCTCAGAGAGCACCAAGGACTCCCTAGTTCTCCTCTTTTTCCTCCTCTTCCGTTCCTCCTCCTCCTCTCCAAAAACCCCCACACCCTTCTAGCACTGATGACTTTACCTAGTTTGGGTCATGAAACGCCTGCAAGAAAACAAGCCAGCTCAGAGAGCACCAAGGACCCCTTCATGTCAACCCTGAGCTACAAATATCTTTTAGCGATAGGAGCAAAAGCGATTTGAAATCCCAGGATTATTTTGCTTGTCTAGAATGCACTTTTTAATCACTTGATGGTTAAAATAAGGATGGATTTATACGTATCTCTCATCAGCCCAAAAGTTCCTCCCCCTTTCTACGCCGGCTTCAAGGCAGAGCATTCTTTGAAACCCCCGAACGCGCCATATTCATTCTGGATTATCCGACAAACAACCAATTTCAGCGAAGTGGTGTGAAATGGGGAAGGTGTAATTGTTTTTCTCCTCCTGCACAGAGGCCGCAACTGGGGGAATAAGAGAGCTAAGTTGAAAGCGATTGATTACTCCAGTAATCTGCATTAGGCTAAGAATTCTTAGCTTCCCTATGAAAGGTTTGCACCTCAGGTGCAGAGCAATTGAATTTTTTTTTCCTACGCCTTCACTGCTGCAAGCATATATACAAAGAAATGTTCACAAAATGAAGACAGAAACAGCCAGGATGGTCCATTTAGCAGTGATTCTCAACCTTGGCAACTGTAAGATGAGTGCACTGCAGCTCCCAGAATTCCCCAGGCCACCATGCTGGCTGGGGAAGTCTGGGAGCCGAAGTCCACTCGTCTTGAAGTTGCCAAGGTTGAGAATCACTGTGTCAACTCATAAAATATTTCTCGGGTCTTTTTAGAGTTGCCAACAGAAAGGAAGGAAAGGGTTTTGCTTGGACACCGAAAGTGCATTCCGTAGTTTTTCAAAGATAGTTTCTAGGTAACCGAAGTTTCTGCCATGCAAAATTCTCATTGGAGAGCATGATTGATGACTCTGGGCTATGGATGTATCCCATTGGAGGATATGAATTATGATACACCCAGGGAGGTGGAGGGAAAACCAGGGCCAAGGGTGACAATGAATGATGTGTCTCAGAGTTGGCTGCACCCAGGCAGTGCCGGACATGTTAACTCCCAATAAATCGTTTTGAAGTTTTGGAAGTTTGGCTTGAGACTCAGGATTTAATTGGGGGTCACTGCCAGAATTCTGACACACTGGGCTGTAGTTTCTCTAACCCAATCTAGGCTAGATTTTATACGGGTTGTGTTTGTTGTACAAACGCACGTTGCTCCCTTCGCTTTGCAAGCGCACCTGGTGGCTTTATGTTTGGAGTAGGAAATTCTGCGTTCAGAAATCGGATTGAAGGGCTGCTTTCCCCTCGTGCAGGCCGTCGAGTCGATCCAGGCGGAGGACGAGAGCGCGAAACTATGCAAACGCAGAATCGAGCATCTTAAAGAACACAGCAGCGACCAGCCTGCGGCCGCCAACATGTGGAAGAAAAAACGGATGGACCGCATGATGGTGGAACATCTCCTGCGGTGTGGCTATTACAACACTGCTGTGAAATTAGCCAGGCAGAGCGGCATTGAGGTTGGTACTCGGCTTCAAAGAGCGGCGGTTGTGGTTGCGGGGCTCTATTGCCCAAGTGAAGGATCCTGCATGGCCCCTTTTATGACTGGTGGACTTCAGTTCCCAGAATTCCCTGAGCCATCCATGCTCAATATGGCCCCTTTATGACTGGTGGACTTCAACTCCCAGAATTCCCCGAGCCAGCCATACAAGAGCTGTCCTTCCCTATTTATTAGATGCTGCCTGAAAGTAGCAAGAATCCCTTAAATGTTTTTTTTTAATGGTTTCTAGGCTCTGAAGTTTTTCTATTGAACAGCAAATGCAGAATTCTCATTTATACCCTGAGATGGGGTGGCAGGAAGTAATAGCTGGCCTGTCTTGAAGTCCTTTTTAATTTTATTTATTTTTGTACCCCGTGGTGCTCAGATAACTTTTAACAAGTTGTCTCATGTTCCTTCTGCACAATTTGCTCTCCTGTGCATGAAGCACATTTTGATGTTTGGCTGGAATCAATTTATTTGTATTATTTTTGGGGAATGGCATATTCTTTTCCATACAGTGAATGTTACTCATTGATTGAACTTGTTTAATTGGTTTGTCCTAATGTTTTCCACAGCTCAAAGTAATCATTTAAGAACACTGGCGCAAAGTGGATTTATTGGAAGATCCCCATAGTTTTTCTTTGAAAGTTGATCTGTTTTGCGTTCAGGTTCCCTACCCCTCCCCCCCAGTGTTCTGTACAGATGTAATAGCAAATAACATTTGCAATAGAACATTTGCCCCAGGCAAATTCATTCTGGGCAGTCAGAAAACAGCTCTTCATTTCCTGTTATGTTTAAACTATTCAGTCAAATGGAATTCTAATGTGCAATTTATAATCTTGGCTTAGTCACTAGAGCTAAAAGAATGCAGGCAGAGGCAGTATTTCAGTCCCTGCAAGCCGGATGCCATCTCTTTAAGTGGGTTATATATGCATTTGCTGGTTGGAATTGTACAAAGACTGCTCGACTTGGATCCCCCCCTCCCCCAGCTCAAAAATGACTCCAGCCCGAACTGATCTAAGATTTCCATCCTAATGGGCGGCCTTCCTCAGAAAACACAGAGCCCTTTGTTTCCCCTTTATTTAACGCAGCAATAATAAGCGGCTGTATTCTTTTTAATTTTTATCTGTCAAGCCTCTTGTGGAAACAGGAGCCCCCTGGATGTTTGGAATGGTCTTTATCAGCAATGGGGTACTATAACGCTAGAAATCTCGAAAGCCCATTCAAACAATTCTCCGATTCAACTTACAAGTATATAATTAAGGCTGAGTTACTCTGAGTCTTTTTCTCCTGTTATCCTTCTCCGATCCTGGGAATCTTTTCTGTAGTGGCCCCAATTTCCTCCCATAACAATCTTGCTCCGTTTATCACATTTCCACACAGTCTCTTAGACAATCTCCCCCATATTTTGTCCCCCTCAAATATCTCTGTCCTCCTCTGCCATGAAATGCGCAGAGAACGATGACCCTGCCTCTTAAAAGAAAGGCCAGACATTCAAGACCGACGGAGGAGTAAAGAGGTTTTACGAGGGAGAGCAGGGGAAAATAACCCCGCGGCTGAAAACAGGGCTCTTGTTATTGTAGAAAGACGAGGGACTAGCTCCTTGCTCCCTGGGAGTATCAGGATTATATGTTTGCAGCCAGTCTTATACCCAAGGCAGTTGGGATGTGCCAGGAAGCAATCAGCTATAAATTGCAGGAGTTCTTCTCTGCGGCCGTTTATTCTTAGTTCTGCTGGAGCCATCTGGTTCAGGTTGAGAGGTCTTATCAACCACCTCCATCTGCAGAGTGTTTTCCAGGCTTGTGAAGTCAGCAAGCCGTCCCAGAGCCCCCAAAAGCTGTCTCAGCCCACTGATCGGTGAAGATTAACAAATATTATGACACTTAATAAGTTAGTGTTCCATATTAGAGCTTTCCTTAATCACCTGCGCTCTTGGGAGCTGTGAAATTTCCTGAACTCAAAAGCTTTCGGGCATTTACTCATGAGGTGACCCAAATCTCCATCTTGACATTTCTAGCCAATTCATGATTGATGTGATGGTCCAAAGGGACGTGGCACAAAGGAAACCCAGTCAGATAATCAGTAGGAGTCCCTTTATTAGCTCCAACTTTGCCCTCAATGCCCTGGATACCTCCTGGGCTGGAGAAAAACTCTCAGGAACAGCCTTTGGCTGCAGAGACTCAAGTCCAAAACATGGTCAACAAAAACTGTAACTATAAGTCCAATCAAGGCAAGATGAGGTAATTAGTCCGGCAGGGGAGGAGCAAGAATTCCAGATGTGAAGGAACAGCAATAAATCAACACGGTTGGAAAGACGCCAGGAACACAGATAATCAAAGTCAACACAAGATAAACTCACATTTGCTCCCAGCAGACACCGCACTCAGCTTGCATCTCTTTTAAACTCTCATTCCCAGGTGTGGCTAATGAAGGGAATCAGGGCCCTTTCCTCCCCCTAAGCCATGACACCCACGTTGCTCCCTTCTCCGTTCCTCCCTGTGTGCCCTAGGATGAAGAGGGGGTGGGCCTAGGTCTTCTTCTGAACTCCCTCTCCCTTGTTCTCCCTCTTCCCTGCTCTGCCCAGCCGGACTTTGCCCTTCCCCAGTTCCCTCCACAGCCAACTGGAGCCACACTCCCACTCCCTGTCAGCTGTTCATCTTCCTCGGATTCAGACTCTGACAGGGGCATGACAATTGGCTTCCAATCCACCTTTGAAGGACACCGCATCCTTCCCTCTTCCACACACCCTCCCTTTGCCGTACTCTGACTTCGACCCTGAGCTACAAATATTCTCCTTTATCGGTTCTCTGAGTTCTGCCCTGAACAAAAACTGTCTTAGATCCTCTCGTGATGTTTCCATAAACGCCAGTGACACGGATTCTCGGGGGAATAATTGTGCTTTCCTGCTTTTCCAGGACTTGGTAAATATCGAGATGTTCCTAACTGCCAAAGAAGTAGAAGAATCCTTGGAAAGACAAGAAACCATGACCTGTTTAGCTTGGTGCCATGATAACAAGTCTAGGCTCAGGAAAATGAAGGTACAAATGAAGGTCTTCAGGGTAGCTGGAGAACGTTGCTTTGGTTGGTCATGGGCTTGAATGTGGGGAAGTGACAGGGGTCAATCAAGGTGTTTCTTTTAGAAGCTTTATGTAACCAAGAAAACAGGAGATATGACACTCCAGCAAAAGTATTGCGAACGAACTTGTATACATTATTGTGAAGCTATTAACTTGTGGGCTACGCTTACTAAATTATAACTAAGAGGAAAGTGAGTATTTCTGAAAATATGTGAGCTTATTTTGAAAATGCAAGGGACGTTGTACAAGCCTACGAGGGGGGAGGATGGACCGCCTGTTCGACATAAGACGTTTAGCTGGAGAAGACAGGAGAATAATTACGTTTGTCAGTAAACCTGATTTCTGTTGAGGGAAATAACATAATAGAGGCAGGCCACGACTTACAACAGTTCGTTTAGTGACCATCCAATATGACGACACTGAAAACGTGGCTTACGAGCACTTTTCAAGCCACGCAGCGTGTTCCTGGTCACAAGTCCATAGAGAAGCCAGAATCACTTGACCACCATGCTGCAAATGTTAACAACTGCAGCAATTCACTTAAGACACCTGTGGCAAGAAAGGCTATAAACAGGGCAAAATTCACGACATCTGTTTCAATTCACGCCAGAAATTTTGGGCTCAGTTGTGGTTGAGGAGGACTCAGATTGTACAGGGTCTCCTGCTTAAGCAGAGGGGTTGGACTAGAAGACCTCCAAGGGGTTCCTTGCAGCTCTACAGAGTGCCAAACCTTACTACTACTCCTTTGCTCTGTGGATATCCCGTCTCTCAGCGGCCCCGTTAAAGTGGTTTTGTGGGCAAGAAGGCTGAAGCTGAGAGGGGCTTTGGCTCCTTACGAGAAGTAGGGCACGGGTGAGATCCAGTCAGAAGTGAGCCTTGATTCCTCTCTCTCTCTCTCTCTCTCTCTCTCTCTCTCTCTCTCTCTCTCTCTCTCTCTCTCTCTCTTCCACCACCAAAGCCCACGACTTCTAAGTCCCGGGAGCGGCAAAACCTGCTTTGCAGGAAGACAATGCAACTGCACGCAGGCACTGTAATAGCTCATTTCCTACGTGCCGCGTGAGTGTGAACCAGTTGCTGAGCGCCCAGATTTTGATCACGCAGTCACATGGGCACTGCGGCCGCCGGAACTTTGAATACTGGCCCTAAGGGCCACACGTTTAGCTCCACCGCCATAACTTTGGTTAATGAAAGAGTGGTCAGTAAGTGAGGACCACCTAAGAGAGAAAAGAGAGAAACCAGGCTCAATAGCAGGAACCGGGAGAGGGATCTCGGAGTCTTAGTGGACAACCAGGTAAATAGGAGCCAGCCGTGTGCAGCAGCAGCCAAAAAAGCCAATGCAATCCTAAATTGCATTAACACAGGGATACAATCGAGATCAAGGGAGGTACTAATCCCACTCTATAAAGCTTTAGTAAGGCCACACTTAGAGTACTGCATCCAGTTTTCGTCACCACACTATAAAAAAGATGTTGAGACTCTGGAAAGAATGCAGAGAAGAGCAACCAGGAGGTTGAAGGGACAATAAACGATTGCAGGAACCGGGCCTGGCTAGTCTAGGGAAGAGAAGGACCAGGGGAGACACAAGAGCAGCCTTCCAATATTTGAGGGGCTGCCCCAGAGAGGAGGAGGAAGTGGGTCAAGCTATTCTCCAAAGCCCCCGAAGGCCAGACAAGGAACAATGGAGGGAAACTGAACAAGGAGAGATTCAACCTAGATATGAGGAGGAATTTTCTGACAGGGAGAACAACCAACCGATGGATCAGAAGTTGCCCTCGGCAGTTCTGGGAGTGCCATCACTTGAGACTTTCAATAAGAGACTGGACTGCCCTCTGTCAGAAATGGTGTAGGGTCTCCCGCTTGGGTGGTGGGGGTTGGACTAGATGACCTACAAGGTCCCTTCCAACTCTGATTACCTGTTATCTGTAATAAACAGCAGTAGGAATAGCTTAAAGGTAATTTTTGAAGAGGCTTCTGAGAGAATTATTCGGTGAATGTATATATCTATATAACATTTCAGATGGAAACCGAACAAAACAATTGAGCAAATGTGCGAAAATAAAACCTTGTTCTAATAATGTTTTAAAACAAAACTCAATGCGGACGTGTAAGAGAAAATATTTTTTTAAGTAAGCATTTGGTTATAAAGTAGCATATCAAATTGCAGAAGTAAATTTAATTGGCATTAACTTTTATATTGGTTCTAAATATATTCAGATGTTTTATTGCTTTTGAGGTAAGTTACTTAAATAAACATAGATAAAATTACAGATCGTCTACATCTTGCTCTGGCATGTCTTAAGGTTTGTTTCCTTTATAATTTAGAGTTGTCTGGAATTCAGTCTAAGGATTCAGGAGTTCATAGAGCTTATTCGACAGAACAAGAGACTGGATGCTGTAAGGTAGGAGGCAACCTCTGTGTACGTAGGAAAGCGAGAATGTAAAGTCATGCCAGAATTGGGCACAGAAAGATTGTTTTTAAAAGATGCTACGTTACCTTTCTGCTCTTTCATAATTGTTACCAAAGTAGTGATGTTTTCTTCAGGAGAATTTTCCATATACGTTTGTATAAAAAGTTCTACAAAAAGATAAAAAGTAACAAAAATTAATACAAAGTAAAGAAAGGGAGGAAGAGGAAAAAAATGACAAATGTAAAAAGAAAAGAGACAAAGAAATAGAAGAAGCTTCCAGGTTCCTTTGCTGCAAAATAGAAATGCGGTACAATGACAAAATTTCCTTTTACTCTGTGGTTACGGAAAAAAAGCTCTCCTTTTCCTAATTATCTAATGATTGCATTGTCTAATGGTTTCTTGTCTTCAAAACCACAAATCAAACGTTCATTTTTTTTTTAATGCAAAAAGGCTATAAGAGCCTTTCAGTCAGCAACAAAGGGAGGAAGGGAAGGAAGGAAGACAAGATGAAGGGAAAGGAAAGGAAAGGAAAAGGAAGGAGGAAGGAAGGCGAGATGGAGGAAGGGAGGGTGAGATGAAGGGAAGGAGGGAGGAGGAAGGGAGGATGAGAAGGAAGAAAAGAAGAGAGGCAGGCAGGAAGGAAGACAAGATGAAGGAAAAGGAAGGAAAGGAAAGGAAGGGGAAGGAAGGCGAGATGGAGGAAGGGAAGGAGGGAGGAGGAAGGGAGGATGAGAAGGAAGAGAGGCAGGCACAGAAGGAAAGAAGGCAAGATGGAGGGAGGGAGGAGGAAGGGAGGGAGGCAGGCTAGGAAAGAAGGAAGGAAAGAAGGAGACAAGGAATAAAAAAGAGGAAGGGGCCTTGATTATCCTCTTCAAAGACCCGGAAGAAGAGTGTGGTCTTTGAGACCCTTTGAAGCCCCATCAGGGTGAGAGCCGTTTGAATTTTAGGGGGGGGGGTGGGCGCTCATTCCAGAGAGCAGGCGCTGCACCTGAGTCCCAGGAGATGCCATTTGTGTATTTGGTGATGGGACCCAGAGCGTGCCGTCCCGGCCAGATCGAACCCATCGGTCAGATGCAATTGGAGACAGTCAGTCCTGGGCCCTGCTGGGAATCGCTTGGGAAGCAGCTGAGAATAGAACTGCCGGTGTCATTGTGCTCTTGTAGAGCTCTACGGTGTGATGCTGCCCATCAAAACTGAGGAGACATTATAAACTGGAGTTTCTTAGCTCAGGGAGGGAGCAGTAAAGGAAGACGTGTCCCAGTGACAGCAGCAGAAACTCACAGCGTTTCAGCCACAGTCGATAAAAGGAAGCGCTGTGCCGTCGGATGTGGTTGCAGCTATCAATTTTGATGGCCTTTGAGAGGGTTGCAAATATTAATGGGGGATTTGATTTTCAAGCTGCTCCTATTACGCTTTAGGCCTGTAAACGTGCGAGCTACATTAGATGGAGTTTTGGCCTGATCCAATTGGACTCTGAGGTTACAGGCATTAGCTATCAGATTTTATGTTGGCCCACAAGGGATTAGGGAAGACAGGGGAGCGTGCAAGTCTGTACATGAGCAATTTATTTAACAGCACTCTTACAGGACGTTACATTGCTCCAATCAACTAATTCTAAATAGCCTACAGTGCCCCAGTACAAAATTAGGATTAAAGTTAAGGCTATACGGGATTTCCAATCAGCAATAGAGGGAGGGAGGAAAGGAAAGGAAAGGAAAAAGGAAAGAAAAGGAAAAAGGAGAAAGGAAAGGAAAGGAAGGAAGGAAGGTCAGTCAAACGTACGAAAAACAGTGTACATTATAACAATATAAAACAGGAGGTGTACTCTGAAGAATAAGACCAATTTTATTCCGGAGAATAAAATCAATTCATTATCAGGAGGGATATTTGCTCCCAGAATTCCTAGGGCCAGCACACTTGCATTTTATAATAAACAAAGCAGATCAGTTCATTGTCATTGCACACCATTGTACACCATCTTCAGTGTACATTATGACTTTGAACACAAACACACCTCCTTCAGATTCTACACGATTGGATTGAAAATCCCTGATATTGCATGAATATTGCACTCGACAGTAGAATTCAAAAGAGCTCCTGCCCTGGGATAGCGGCTGTTTTTCAGCCTGTTTGTCCTTGTTTTTATTATTGTCCTCTACTGTCTGCCAGATGGTTATAGTTAAAAAAAAAAAGGCTGCCCAGGATGAGATGGATCTTTGAGGGTGTTTTGAACTTTCCTGAGGCAGCGGGAGCTCTAAAGCTCTTCCAAAGAGGGGAGAGGGCAACCCAGGATCCTCTATGGGGCAGTGACGTTAACCCTCTGGAGCGCTTTCCCCTCTGCCCCTGTGCAAGTGGCAAACCCTAGAGAGGTGCGGGAAGTGAAGGTCCTCTCCATGGTGCAGCGGTAGAAGCCGCCAGCCAGAGGCCTCCGCGAGCGAAGGAGGCCTCCCAAGGAAACCCTGTCCTCTCCTGTCGTTCATTTCAGACACGCACGGAAGCATTTCAGCCAGGCCGAAGGGAGCCAGCTGGACGAAGTGCGGCAGGTGATGGGGATGTTAGCCTTTCCTTCGGATACTCACATCTCCCCTTACAAGGTATGCGGCTTTCCCTTCCATCTGGGGGACTGGGGGGGGGGGGCTGGGGGGGAGGAGTGGCAGGTCAGTAGGGCTTAAAGTGGTCAGCCGAGGAAGGGGTGCAGGAGGATGCAGGCTGGCCTCCCTCAATCAGACCGAGACTGGCCTTCCAGCTGCTGGTGGGTTTCAACAGAATCTTGGTACGAGAATCGGTTTCCCACAATGGCCCCTGAGAAGTTGCACTGTGGACTTCTTAGGGCAGCGGCTTTGGTGTTTGTATCTTACATTTCATATCGTTTTATTAGTGTCCTAGTATGATTTCTGTTGATGGCTTCTTTAGCATCCTGTGACTATGCCTGCGTGTTATATGATTTGTGAGGAGTCTATTTTTACAGTGACTGTGATTGTGATTTATCACGTATTGCTTGTATGCACCCTGAGAGCTTCTACATTGCAGACAAATTCCTTGTGTGTCCATCACACTTGGCCAATAAAGAATATTTTGTTCTGTTCAGTTCTATTCTGTATGCTATTCTGTGCTATTCTATATTCTGTTCTGTATTCTATTCTATATTCTATTCTGTTCTTTCCTATTCCATATTCTGTATTTATTCTATTCTATATTCTATTCTGTTCTTTCCTATTCTATATTCTATTCTTCCCTGTTCTATTCTATATTCTATTCTATTCTATATTCTATTCTAGTCCAGTCCAGTCACAATAAAGAGGAGAGTCGTAAGCCTGCTCAGATCTGCATTATACCGACAATCATCTCTGGGCATCCTTACCTGTTTAGATATAGGCATCCCTCGACATACGAGCGCCATTGAGCCCAGAATTTCTATTGCTAAGTGAAACGCTGGTTAAGTGAATTTTGCCCCGTTTTTCAACCTTTCTTGATGCAGTTGTTAAGTGGATCACTGCATACGGTAAGTTAGGAACACGGTTCTCAACTGCACTGTCAACTCTGGTTGTCAGAAGTTCGCCACAGGGGATCACGTGACTTACTAACTTAACACTGACTCACTTAACAATGATAGCAAAGTAGGCCGTAAAACAGGGCAACCTCGCTGAACAGTTGACTCCCTTAGCAACGTAAACTTTAGGCTCGCTCGTAGCCATAACTCGAGGACATCCCGTGCATAATTTACATTTTGATGGTCTGAAACTGTACTTGTGTGTTCCCGCCAGGATCTCCTGGACCCTGCTCGGTGGAGGATGCTCATCCAGCAGTTTAGATACGATAACTACAGGTTGCATCAGCTGGGGAATAACTCCGTCTTTACCATAACACTCCAGGCTGGCCTGTCTGCCATAAAAACACCGTATCCTTCCACGCATACTCTCCGGGGTTTTCTTTTTTAAAAAAAAAGACTTAATGCATTTATTTTTTTCTCCCCAAACAGACTGCATCTTTCCTAAGCTTCCGTTTGGCAAATACACACTGATCATTCAAACAGTCGTCCGAGGGACAGCCCCGCCTGCTTTTTGCATTCCACAGGCCCCCCCTCCACCCCAAAAAAACAACCCCAGATTGGAATGTGAAAAATGCAGTTTTTGCATCTTTGCGATGAATGGGAAGATTATGTTTCCTTGCAGTGCACTTGGTCAAAACTCCAAACTGTCTGTAATTGTCTGTAATCTGTCATTTTGTAATTGTCTTTCTTTCTTTCTTTCTTTCTTTCTTTCTTTCTTTCTTTCTTTTCTTTCTTTCTTTCTTTCTTTCTTTCTTTCTTTCTTTCTTTCTTCCTTCCTTCCTTCCTTCCTTCCTTCCTTCCTTCCTTCCTTCCTTCCTTCCTTCCTTCCTTCCTTCCTTTCTTTCTTTCTTTCTTTCTTTCCGAGATTCCCTGCCCGCTGTGAGTGGCACGCCTGTAATCATCATTAGCACGCCTGTCGAGAAGCAGCTTTCGAAACAGCCCTCTTTTCCTGCTTTTTATAACTGCAGGAAGTTGAAAAATCAGGAAATAATGATCAAGTAAGAGCCCAGGTGGGCGGGTGGGCAAAACCATCAGCAGACATAGAACCAGTTCTATGTCTGCTGCTCTTCAGAGGTACCAGTTCTACAGAGGTGGACAGAACTGGTAAAAACCCGCCTGTCTGTCTTTCTGTCTGTCTATCTATCTATCTGCCTCATTTCATATTAGGCCCTGAGTTACCTGTGGCAACCGCTATTTGTCTTACCGCTTTCAATAGTTTTTCCTGCTGTTACGATTCCTTAGCTTGTTTCCAAACAGACAGTGTTACAAAGAGGACGGCACTTCCAAAAACCCCGACTGTCCGGTGTGTAGCAAATCCCTCAATAAGCTGGCTCAGCCCCTGCCTATGGCCCACTGTGCCAACTCCCGGCTAGTCTGCAAGATTTCAGGAGACGTGATGAATGAGAACAACCCCCCTATGATGCTCCCCAACGGATACGTCTACGGATACAACGTAAGTTGTGGCTCAGGGCCCTCCCAATTCAGGCTTTGGCCCGGGCTATGATAATAAACACATCACATTTTTAATAGAAGGGTTTGTAAAATTCCCCCCAAAAAAACAGTAAGAAGCTGTTTCGCCACAGGGAGTCCTCAACAACAGTTCATTTAGCGATCGAGGTTTTAAAAAGATTCACTTAATACCATGGGATTCACGTAACAACTGTAGCATGAAAAGTCATAAAATGAGAGCAAAACCAGTGGTGGGATTCAGCCGGTTCTGACCGGTTCTGGAGAACCGGTAGCGGAAATTTTGAGTAGTTGGGAGAACCGGCCAATGCCACCTCTGACTGGCCACGCCAACCCCGTCTCTTCTCTGCCTCCCATTGAGTCCCAGCTGATCGGCTGGGTCTCCTGTGGTTGCGCTGCACAGGAGAACGGAGCTGGAAAGCAGGTCAGTGGGTAGGGAGGGAAGGGGGATTTTGCAGTAACCTTCCCCTGCCACGCCCACCAAGCCACGCCCACAGAACTGGTAGCAAAAAAATCATTCCCACCACTGAGCAAAACTCCCTTAACCGTCTCGGTTAACAGGAGAAATTTTGCCATCCGTCACGGTCGTAAGCCGAGGAATTAACCTGTAGCGGAAGATCCTTGTGGTTTGAGGCACCGCTGACCTTTCTGTTCAGAGTATGGCAGTGTAAATTCAGCGCCAGAAAAGTAAACACAGACGGCTGAGGCTTCATTTAACTTCTTTATAAACACATAAAGTGGATTTTACAATACCAGTTGTAGATTTCTCCAACATGGAGCAAACTCAAACAGAAGCAGACGTGTTACAGGTTCAGAGCAGAACAGCAGCAACTCAGGAGCTGAGAAACAGATCTCAGTTTCACTTTACTTCAGCAGGCAAGCAGGATCACAGCAGAGGAGAGAAGCCGTTTTATTTTCAACAGACAAACTCAGAGCTGCAGAGCTTAACAGAGCCACGCCTAGGCTACTTCTAGTTTCAGTTTCCAAACAGTCCTCATTGGCTGACTTAGTTGCTATGCCTATTCCTTGGCTGACCTCGTTACCCTGCCCTACTCTCCAGCTCATGAATATACTCTGACAACTTTCTCCTGTGTTTCGTTCCAGTCCTTGCTTTCTGTTCGTCAGGATGACAGAGTCGTTTGCCCGCGAACCAAAGAGGTCTTCAGTTTCTCCCAGGCCGAGAAAGTCTTCATTATGTAAAAAAAAAAAAAAAAGGGGGGGGGGGCCTTTCTCACGCGCAAACGAAGTGCCACCGGATTTTGACACGATTTATTCGAGCCGTGCGCGCCCTGTAAACCAGAGATCTTGGGGAGTAAACGCGCGGCAGAGAAAAGCTGCGACTCGGGAGGGACGGGACGGGGTGGGGAAACGGAGGCTTCGTTGGTGGCATTTCTTTTCTTTCTCCTTGCGACCAAAGATCCGTGAGCAAAAAAAAAAAAAGAGAAACCAACACAACACACTCTTGAGAAAAAGCGAGGAAGTGCGACTCAAGTTAACAAAAAGAAAAAAGAAAAAGAGTTGCACTCGGAGGGAACAAATTTTGAATGTTTGGATTTTTGTAAGCCCAATTGGGTTTTTTTTGTTTTGTTTTTTTCCCCACTCAAATACTCATCCAGGGGAAGCAGCTTACTCAAACCAGGTCATTTTCCCATGTGAGAGAGAGAGAGAGAGAGAAATAACTTTAGATCTCAAAGGTTCTACCTGTGTGTGAAATATTGTATGATTTAAAGGTGACACAATATGCAAAGCTACCAGAAGACGCACCCGAGGGCTGGTTTCAGCTTTCAGGTGCGTATCCGTCTGGTGTCTTTCGGGACCCACATGCCACGCAAGCCACTTTCCCCTTCCAATGTGTGGTGGTGTCACCAACTGGAAGCACGCACCCAGCTGTGCAAAAAAACACTTTGTGTTTGCAGACACTTTGTGGTTTGGTATCGTCTGTCACGTAGCCTTTAAAAGACCGTCAGTCCTTGGAATTGATGCTGGATGGATGCTAACACACGAGAAGAAAAGATAATAGAGAAGGGTTTGGGTTTTTTTTCAGCTTTGGGAACTGGAAGAATTCTGGGAGTTGAAGTCCCATCTCTCTCCCAGTTCCCACCGTTGAGAAATTTCTATCCTAGATAATTGGAAGAATCTTTTAAAAATTGCATTAAACGCAGAACTGGTACCATTGCAGCCACAATGTGCCACTCGTCCGTCTGTCCTCCTTTCCAGTTGACCAATAGTGTTAAGGACTTTTCGTTTTATTAGTTAGTATGTGCATAGGATTCAAATATCAAAAACCCATTTAGTGCTACTGCCTTATTTTCTTGCTTTTGAGAATGTATTCACATGAAAAAGAAAAAAAAATCAGCTGGTAACCTTAAGTTTTGAAGAAGAAGAAGATGCCTTGCAGGAGAATTATGTAATTTTAGGGTATTGGTGGCCCAAGAGAGGTGGTTAGTTCAATTTTTCAATCACATCCTTATCATCCTCCAGACACACACACACACCCCTCATTGTAGTAGAGACAAAAACCATACCATAGACTTTGTATTTAGCCTTTATTTTTGCATGTTGATGTTGATTAGCTAATAAAGACATTGCTCATAATAAGCCTCGTTTGTGCTCGTTAGTTAAAACTATGTGATTTAAAAACCAAATGATTAATAAGATATATTTTTTTCCTGCAAAAAAAAAATAATAATGGTGGATTATTGGGGTTCTATCAAAAACTTGTTTTTCACAAGTAGCAGCCTTTCGAATTTTCCTTAAATCATTTTCTGAGAGAAAGTGCCAATTATATGAGGAAGATTTTGTGTGATTGCATAAGTAGAGAAATAACACACATTTAATACTTAAGGTACTCTGACTTGGAGGTGAACAACTGGGCGTGATGCAAGGCCTCGCAATAATTTAATATAAAATGGACTAATAAAAAGATGGCTTATTCACAGACTTCACCGTATTTAAGCCTCAACTGGACTTTAGACGTGATACTTTCCAAATCATATTTTCCTGAGTTCAGTGTACTAATAATCCCCAGACTGACTCTTCAATCTCCAAATTTTATTCAGGGGTCTGATTTAATGTTCCCCATTTATCGTAGACGAGTAGCGCTTGAAAAATAAGAGCCTATGCAATGAATATTTTTGAAACCGTTGTGATGTCTCCCGTGAGGCCCTGCCCAATTTCACTTACTTAAAAGTATAGTAGATTCAGAAGAACAATGTGTCTGTGTTTATCCTGCTTCAGCAAAACCAATGAACCTCCAAATAAACAGCTTTCCTTTTCCAGGGCTTTTTAAGGAATATTCCTGCCCTCCTTGTTTCCATAGCCACCCCGGGTATTCCCTCAAGGCCAGCCCCAGGGTTGCCTCCGCCATTATGGAGCGGAGAAAAGAGAGCCCATGTGCAGCAGCAACCATTGCAGAGATAATTAAATTCAGATTATTTTTTTTTCCCCCAATTGCTAACTTTCAGAGATATCCATATTTCCCTTTCCAGCAGTTAAAAGTGCCTTCACCACCGGCCTTTTATAAGCTACTTATTCTCGGCTCAGACACTTGGGAGAAAATGGAGATTCTGCCTATTCTGCAAAGGGTCCAATTTTTCTAGCAAGTCTTTCCCCCTCTTTTCTTGTGCCTTTTGTCCCTCTGGGCCTGGTTTCCAGCTGGGCTCATTGCTACCCTCTTCCGGATCGGATTTTTCCTTCCACAGCTGCCACCTCGGATGGAGCCAAGAAAGGAAACACCGCTGCTTTTCGGCCGCCCAGCGAAAGGGGAGAGCCTGTGCAATCCACCCCC